ATCTGATGTAAAATGTATAGAAATCATACATATACCAACAAGACTGTACATCACTGTCACAACAGCGTTTGTTTTCATTCAAAGGCTTTATGGCTTTTCCTATAATACCTGGTGGGCCGGTCTTTAGTCAAAATGCCCGGGCCGATTTTTTGTCCCAGTCCTGCCCTCATACCGACCCAGTACTGGTAATTTTTCTTATGCAGATGAGGCATTATTTCTGTACCATTATTTAATTCCAGCACTTGTTGACTTGTTAAAGGCCTATATGACATATTTTTTTTCACAATTTATTAACCGCACAGAGAAGCCATCGTTTAAATATGTTAAATATGTTTCTTTAAGCAAGTTTTTCATGACTTAGCTAAGTGTCCTCATTTTGGAAATCAAAATATGGTCATCCTATGCATACTATAAATTTGAAACTACCTTAAGCAAGTGACTAGCTTAGCATTGGTTAGGATAGCACAAAGGCTAGAAACCAAGAGAAACCATTCGCTTGACTTTAGATATAAAACATTTTTAATACAATACCAGAACCTTTAAAGCTCACTAATTAACGTGAACCTTTTGCCTATATTGGTACTAAGTTAGTCTAGCTGTTTCCTCTGTTTTAAGGCTTTGTGTAAACAAAGCTAACTAGCTGCTTGTGTAATAGGTTGGAAGACTACTGAAACTAAAAAGGTTATACAGTTAATACTAATTCATATTAGTTGATATAAGGATAAAAGTAATGTAAATACGACAAGAAAATGGTTAATAAGTTATTTTTCATGTTACATTAATGGTTTTCATTTTATTTAAGACAGGGTGTCCCAACTTTTCGCAAAGAGAGCCAGATTTGGGAAGGTGAGAATGTGTGGGGGCCGATCATTCAGCCTGAAATATTTTGAAGCATTAACATTAAATGCAAATGAATGATTTTATATTTTTTTTCTTTTTTGACACACAAATTTTATTATGAATTTTTTATTATGAATTAGTTATTATTAAACATTTTTACCATAATCTTGTATTTGAAGAACACATAAAATGAAGAAAAATTAAACTAAATTCAAAACGTGAACAGGAAAATAACATTAAGAGTTAGCTTTTTCAAAAGTACAAAACATTGTGTGCCATAGATCCGTACATCACTCTGCCTTTAGTTTTTAATTGACCATCAAAAATCCAAAAACTACAATATATTATTTGATTTTGAATCAGACATCAAAAACAAAAATGGATGTGTTTTCAATTTTAAACTCAGATCAAAAATACGAAATTGAAAAACCGGCTGCCGGACCGAATTTGATTTTATTATTTAATTTGTAGGGTTTAGGAGATCCCGTTTGATTGTCAATTGGAAAAACAAAACAAAACAACAACAACAAAGTAAAAGACTTAAAAACTAAATAAATAACTTGCCTGCACTAATGTGAAGGGTGATACTGAGAACTTGACTGAAGTAAATAGGCCAGGTCTGGCTCAAAAACAGTGGTTTTGCTGCGCAAAATATCACGCAAGTGAGAATCAAACAACCTCAGCATTTTCTTAGCAAATGTTCAAATCTCTTGGAACCTGCCTTTGTCCAGGTGGCGGTAAAAGTATTGGGCTGCGTTTGTGACAGGTGTCTTTGGAAAAGTAGCAGTTTATTCTCAAAGGCTTTGATGTGTGAATGCATTGGCTTACCACTTCATTTTGCCCCTGAAGGCTCGTGTTCAACGCGTTCAGATGTTGTGTTATGTCAACTAAAAATCCAAAATCAGCAAGCCAAACATGATCAGATAGTTCTGGCATTGGACACAGTTGTTTCGTATTTCAGTCAAAAAAACCCCCCAAAACAACAATTTCCACTTATCCTGGATAAGTGGCGGCCCTCGATAGTATGACCATTAGGTCTACTGCCACATGTGTACATGTGTATTTTATACAGTGGTCAACAGTGCTGACGGGCCGCATATTATTGATTTTATGACAGAGGCTGCGGGCCAGTCGAAATTTGAACACGGGACGCATTTGGCCCGTGGGCCGGATTTTGGACATGCCTGAACTGCGATCTATACATCACTGATCAGCTAGCAAGCCTTTTCTGGGATCAATTAGTAGTGTCTCTATTCTCCACTAGGGGGCTTTCGCGCACTCACCTCATTGCAATAAATGACTGCATGAGAGAAGCAAGTCAAAATCACTCTCGTGATTCTTTTTCCCCTGTTTTCAGGTAATAGTGTTTAAAAGATGATATATTTGTAATCTGTACAGTGTTAAGATATTTCATAGGTAATCCTTAGTTGTTTTGTAAGCTTTAGAAGCATTTTATTATAGTTTTTTGAGTACACAGACAGTGTTTTTGAGCCTCAGTTTTGCACTGTAAAAGGGTCACGGCTATGTAGGTTTATTATTTAGCTTTTCCGTCCACCTTGTGACATTGAGCAGTGCAGAGTGTCAAATATTTATGTTCATTTTCATTGCAATTAACGACTGCATGAGAGAAGCAAGTCAAAATCACTGTCGTGATTCTTTCCCCCCTGTTTCAGGGGTGTAACACTTAAAGTAACTTAATCATAGTAATACAAAAGGTATGTTTTTAAACATCTGTCACCAAGTCAAACTAAATAGAAACAGAAGTGAAAATTATCTTACCTGAAGTGAAAACAGTCATTCTTTTCATTTTTCGTGGGTTTATTACACTTCAGCTCAATGGCCTACACAAGAAACATTGAGAAATAAATAAATATTATTTTAAGAGAAAAGTTTACGATAGGAAAAAAAAAGAACTCCTCTACTTGCATAAATCTACAATTCTCCTTTTTAGTTTTCCTGGTATTGGTCAATCTAATGAGTTGTGTCGAACAAATCTTTTTTATGTTAACAGAGAAACTAACAACTACAGTCAATCATTATCACTAATGTTAATACACTTGGCTTTTTCCAATTTAAAGACA